AAAATCTAGAATACAAATTGAGAAGATAAGGAAGTTTTAAGTAGTGTTTTCTAAAGCAGAGTCTGAAAACTTTTTAGAATCTCATTATCAAGCTACTTTAGGCAGCACACACAGGGGAAGCCCTCTAAAAGATGGGCTTTGCCACCTTTTAAAAATGTGCACGGAGACCTGCGTGATAGGAATTAGCCATGCAATAAGCCTGGGAAAACAGTAAGCATCCCAGGTAGAGGAAACCACAAATGCAGACTCTGAAACAGGGTCAAGTAGAGGGATTGGCTTTTTAGAGAAAAAGAGAGGAAGCCGGTACGACTGGGGCAGAGTGAGCAGGGGGGAGAGTGGGAGGGGATGAGGTCAGAGAGCCCATGGAGCTCTAGAGACCCCTGTAAAAAGTTTGGGTTTGCTCAGTACGACTGGGGCAGAGTGAGCATGGGGGAGAGGAGGGGGGATGAGGTCAGAGAGCCCATGGAGCTCTAGAGACCCCTGTAAAAAGTTTGGGTTTGCTCTAAGAGCAATGAAAGACACAGGACTACAAAGGAGAGACATGATCTGATTCTGTATTTAAAAAACCCACTCTGGCTGTGGTAGCAAAGGGATTGTGGCGGACAAGAGCAGAGCAGGGAGACTACTCAGGAAACTAATGCAGAAATCCAGGCGAGAAATAACCATAATTGGAGTGAGGAAGTTAGCAGCAGAAATGAATGAATTCAGGATGTGTTCTGGAGATAAAACTAAACAGAACTTTCATTGGGTGCATTGCATTTGAGGGTGAGGAAAGAGGAATCAGAGAACAGATTAGCTTGAGCAACTGGATGCTATTTTCTTAGATAGGGAAAAACAAGATTGGGAGAAAAATCAAGACTTCTGTTTCACAGTATATTACATTTGAGATGCCCTTGATATATCCAAATGATATATGAGAGATGTCCAGTAGGTGGTTGAATATGTGAATGTCAAACTCAGGAGAGGGGAAGTAGAGAGGGAATACAAAAATTTAGGAGGCAGAGGAATAGAAATGCTATTTAAAATTGTGAGCGTGGATATAACACCTCAAGGAAAAGTGTAAATAAAGAGAAAAAGGGTCAGGACGGAGCCTGTTAGAATCAAGAATACAGAGAAGTCTCAGCAAATGAGCCTGAGAAGGAGCCAGTCAAGTAGGTGAGAAACCGGGAGATTGTGATGACATAAGAGGCTGTGAGAAGGAGGTGTATGTTTCAAGAAAGGAGTAGTCAATTGTGCTAAATGCTGCTGATAGGCCAAATAAGATACTACCACTAACACTACTATTACTAACAGCTAACATCTACTGAGCACTTACCATGTACCACAGTCTGTCCTAAATGCTTTACAGCTCTTAACACTTTGAATCTTCTTCGAGTATGGAAAAGAAACCATTAGATTTGGTGACACAGAGGTCAAATGAAGAGATCCTCATTCAACAATAATCTTCAAGTCCTGACTTGTTCCAGGCACTGCTTGAGGCATTGAAGATGAAAGACAAAGGTCCTGCCCTCATGACAGCAAGTAAACAAAAATATAATACAGTCAGATAAGTGTCTTGAAGAAAATGAGCAAGCCAAAGGGTGTTCTTTTTGGTACACGTTTATAGGAAGGTAACAAAACTTGAGGGAAGATGTCCTGAGAGAGGAAAAATTTGGCAAGTGAAATGATCCTGAAGTAGAAGCAAGGATGCCTATGTGGCTGGAGAGCAGCAACTACGGGCAGAGTGGTAGGACATGATCAATTTCAAGATCAGGTTAGTGACAAGGGCCAGACCAAGCAGGGCCTTGTAGGCCTGCTAAGGAGTTTAGATTACATATGCATGAGATGAGAACCCCCTCTGGAGGGCTGAGAGCAGGAGAGCTGCATATAATTTATGTTCTAAGGGATTCTCATTCCAATGAGTTGGGAGGTGGGGCAAGAGTGGAAGCAAGAGCCCAGGTGGGGGCTAGTTCAGTGGACCAGGCAAGAGATGATAGTGGCTTATGAAGATGAAGAAATTTTAGATGTTATGAAACAGTCATAGAAAGATAGCTCAAAGTTAGATTTGCTAATGGCTTGGAGGCAGGGTGTAAGAGAAAAACAGGTGCCAAGAATGATTCCAAGGTTTCTGAACACCAGGATAAATGAATAATGGCGCCATTTGCTGAATTAGAAAACGATGGCAGAGTAGCAAGATTGGGTGCCAGAGTAAGAGTTCAGTTGTGGACGTGTTAAGTTTTATGCGCCTAACAGATATTTAAGCAGGGATGCTTGGTTACAGATAATTGTTTATAAAACTCTGGAGTTCAGGGGAGAAGTTGAGGCTAGAGATAATTTGGGACATTATCAGCATATAATTAAAGCCATAGAACTGATGACATCATCTAGGAAATAAGGAAAGTTCTAGAAGACTCTGACAGGACTAAGCCCTCAGTCACTTCAACCTAAAGACTGGGAAGAGGAAGCTCCAGCAGAGGAAGCTGAGTCAGGAACAATCAATGAGGTAGGACAATGGAGGTGGTGGTATCCCAGAAGTCAGGTAAAGAAAGACTTCTAAGAAAGAAGTGAATGCATCAAATGAGTAGGATGAGGATGAAGAATTAACTATTGAATTTGGCAGGACAGAGGCCATTGTGACCTCAACAAAAGCCACTTTGGCTAAGTGGAGAGAGGGAAAGCTTAATTTAAGTGGTTTAGAGAATGGAAAAAGAGGACATGGAGAAAATGACTCAAAGACAACTATTTTGAGAAATGTTTCCTCTAAAGAAGAACAGAGAAATAGGAGTGATAGCTGGAGGGGTATAAGGAGTTATGGGAAGATTTGTTTGTTTTTTTAAAGATAGGAGTTACTGTGCAAGTTCCTGTGCTGATGGGGGTGAATCCAGGAGAGAGGGGAATACCATGATGTAGGACACAGAGGGGCTAATTTTAGGAACAAAGAGCTTAAAGCAGTTAAATGGGATGGGATCCAACACAGAGACTGAGAGAATGGCCTTTAAGAGGAGCAAGAACAGTTCATCAATTATTAACAGTAGAAAAAGTACAGTATATATATGTACAGATACTGGTGGTTTGGT